AAAAAAAAAAAAAAAAAAAAAATTGCATCAAAGTAAAGTGTGGCTGCATCCTCCTCAATGGGGTGACAGTTGACCTCGGTGGGACCCCTGGGACTGGGGTCACCAAGTCACACAACTTCTGAGGACAGATGGCATCTGACGTTGTAGGAGCAGCCCTCTCCCACCCTTGTCCCCAGGGTATGGAACGCACAGCCTGGGTGCTAGGACACGGCCACTCTGCAGGGGAGATGCAGCACAGGTCAAGTCCACGTGCGGGGTCAGGTGTCCACACGCACGCCTCCCAACCACACCCGGGGCCGCCCGGCTGCCTGACTCAGTGACCGCCTTTAGCTCTACTCAGTCGAGTAACGGAGTCGTGTTTTCACTACCGACATGGCAAGTTTATCTGCCGGGTCTAGTTAAATGCAGAGGCCCCAAGTTATTTCATTGCTAGACGACAAGGACGGGTTTGTCGTTTTCAGCTACAGCATCCAGCAGAGCAAGGAGAGCCCGAGTCTTCCTGTAGATCCAGGACAGCGGGTTTTGTTTGTTGTTTGTTGAAGATAGGCCACTAAAAACATGAACACTGCAGCTCTCTAGACTCATTCTAAATCGTCACTCACAAAAGGTAATCCCGACAGAGAAAAAAGGAAGAAACTCCTCGTGCTTTAAGTTCCTCACTTTCTGGGTGAGGATTCAGATCCCAAGAGAGAGCAGGTGGAAATGCAAGAGGCCAAGGCCAGGACCCCTGCTGTGAGCGCTGGCCACGTTTATATCTCCAGCTGTGAGAGGCCGCTCCCTCCCGAGCCTCTCCACTTAATTCTCAGATGTTGTCTGATGTGAGGAAGGAGGCTTCAGCCACAGCAACGTATGACTTAAGATGGACAACACTTACTTCGGCTCAGTCCTAGCGGAGGCCTGCTCAGAACCCACAGCTTACGGTACACAGGGCCGATTTCATCCCTGCTGTCCTGGAAAGGAGCATCACCCACAAAAGGCAAAGGGAAAGGCCCTTGCTGCTATGAATTTATCCATAGGGTGGACAAATCATTAAAAAGAGGCTCAGGAAAAACGTAAATGAAAACCACAATGAGACATCGTACACGTGTATCAGAAGGGCTAAAATGAAAAATGGTGACAATAGCAAATGCAGACGAGGATGCAGAGAAGCTGGATCTCTCTTACATGGCTCACGGGAATGGAGAATGGCAGAGTTTCGCAGTTTCTTACAGAACTAAACATATGATTACCATGCAGTCCAGCATTTGCATCCCAGGTCGGCTGTGCCAGAGAAATGAAGACTTAAGTTCATACAAAAACCTGTACAGGAATGTTCATAGCAGATGTATTTGTAATAGCCCCAAACTGGAAATAGTCTAGACATCCTTCAACAGTAAAAATGGGTAAACCACCTGTGGCACATCCATACTAGGGAACACTAACTCAGCAGTGAAAAGGAACAAACCACTGATCCGAGAACCTAAATGAGTCTCCAGGGAATTAGGCAGAGTGAAAGAAAAAAAGTCAATCATCCCAAAAGGTTACAGCCTGTATGATTCCATTTATATAACATTTTTGAAATGACAAAATTTTAGAAATGGAGAACAAATTAGTGGTTGCCAGGGATTAGGGAAGGGGGAAGGTCACAAATGGGGAACCACAGGGACCCTTGTGGTGAAGGCAATGTTCAGTGTTTTCACCGTGAGGGTGGATTTGAGAACACATGCATGTGAAAAAATTGCAAGAAACTAAACACAAACACTAATGAGTACAAGTCAAGCTGGGAAGATCTGAAGAAGATGGGTAAATTGTATCAATGTCAGTTCCCTGGTTGTAGTTTGGTGCTAAGGTTTTACAAAATGTTATCATCAAGGAAAACTGGGTAAATGGTACACAAGATCTCCTGTCTTACTTCTTACCGCAGCACTGACTATGAACCTACAATTATCTCCATAAAAATTGCAAAAAGAAAGAAGCAGAAAAAAGAAGTCAACAGAAATTCCTTCTAGAAACCACATGCGATTGAGAACCCCATGATCTTTGTTGGCGCTTACAGAAAGTATAAAACCCAAGTGCTAGAAAATTAACCAACAGCCCTCACAAGAAGATGAACAAGGCACGTGCTTAATATTTAATACGTGTGATGAAAATGCTCATGACGCTTTCCAGCTGAAATACGTGAAATGCAAACACTTTTCAAAAAACTCCCACAGAGCTGAGAATCGCTTTGGGTAACAAACACACATGGTTAAGATTAGATGGCAAACTGATGCCCTTGACAAAGGTGAAGGGAAAGGCGGGTCATGTTCATGTTTGTTTTCTCCAGGGGGCAGAGCCCAAGTTCTCAGCCCCAGAGCCTGTGCTGGCATAAGCAAAGCACCCAATCTCCAGGCCCATTTCTCCAAAGAACCATTTGCATCACAGAAGGGGGAGCACCCTGTACATTGTGGGAGACCCCATGGTATCCAAGCAACACCTCCATTCCCACCAGACATGAATCAGGCACCTCGTCAAGGAGAGCCTTCCCCTGTACTCACTTATTCTGCATCATGTTCATGATCACCCAGTCGAAAGGGTAGACATTCTTCCCAATGAGGTTCTTAAACATGATGAATGTTTCCATCAGAAAATCCTGAAATAAAAAAGAGAACACTGAAACAACCCACCCAGAAAAAGGTGAAAACCAATGCCCCCTGGAATAATTTTACATTATAAATGACTTTTTTTTTTTTCTTTTAACTGAATGAGAACGTACGAAAAAGTAATGAAGATGTATTTCACAGGAGGTATGTATTACACTTCTGCCTTTCTGTTTGCCTGAGCACCTCCTGTCCCGGAGAACTTTTTCAAGGACATATTAAAAGATACTCCTTGGGCATATCTAAGAGTCACAAAGAGTCAGTCCCCAAAGGTTACAAATACATAGTCACACTCTTTCTGCTTAAAGAAACCTTTTAAAACAAACATAACACGCAGGTCGTAACTATGTCTTATATTTACTCTACAGAGATTTTTCATTATGAACAGGGCCCATTGGGTTGAATATGTGGTATTATTATCCTTTCCTTTTTCTTATGTAATTTAACAGCTGAAAGGCTCAAACAGGAACTCCTGACCATCTGCACCTATTCAGCTCCCAGTAAACCATTTGAGCATGTGGTCGCATTCCAGACTCTTTTATGTGGCATCCTCAAATCCATAAGCTCCTCAGTTATACCTCTGTTGTCTCCTAGATGGTCCCTGAATTTCACGAGTGGTGCCCTGCTGCCCCACCTTGCTTCCTGGCCAATCAGACCACTCCTGGCATCGAGAAGGGGTTCCCCTTTCCTAGCGGGTCCACTCTGTGCCTGCCAGAATTAGGAGAATTTCTTGAATCTGACAGTTTAGTGCTTATTCTGAGCTAACCTGAACAAAACAAGTGGTTATCCTGAAAAGCACACATCCCGGTAGCCCGGGATGCATGCTCCCTCAAGATCTGGGTGGGAAGGGGACAGGCAACTGAGAATTCATGTAGGAAAATGAGGTCATAGTCAGAGACGGCCAAATAGAGTGGATGTTTCTCATTTATTTAATCTACTGATTCATAATTAGGTACAATGGCTGTGAAGGCCAAGGTGGTGAACAGGATTTATGCAGCCAAGAAAGCAATTCCCAGCACAAAGTTCTACCCAAGAACTTCTTGCAAAGAGACACCAGTTCCATCGACAGCAGCAATAAGCCGATGTTCAGAGATGCTTCCTCTGCAACCGTAACAGCAATGCCAGGTTACAGGGAGTCATCTCTGCCTTGGGAGGGGTTTGTCGAGCCTCCTCCCATGAATAAAAACTCAAGGAGCAATCGTGATCACCCTTTATACAACAGAGGCCTCCAGTGCAGGAGAGGTTAGGATCCCGGGCAGAGTCAGGAGGGAAAAGTCAGTTCCATGTCCTCCAGACTCTGCCCACAGGAGCCCTGACCAGCAGGGCTTGTGAGCAGGGGTGTTCTAGGTGCCCCCTGACACAAGGAACAGTTTCTCTCCCCAGTTTAATTACTGAAATTCATACTTCACTCCTTAAGTTTCCCCACTTTGTCGAGAGTTTCACATTTTAATGACCAGGTTGCCTACTTCGCCGGCTGAGTGCCGTAATTTAGTCACATCTCTATTTGCATGAAGTTGCTGGCGTTCTTGCTGATCACTCCTCGAAGCCTAATAATTGAGATACAGGGTCTGGTTTTTATTATTCTAGAAGAGAAGCATATTTTCCCAATTCCTTTTTTTTTCTCCCTCTAGGAAACAGAGTCCCGTACTTCATTAGTATGGCTCAGCTGTTAAATGTTGGTACTTTGCTGATCAAACAAAATGCTGCAGATTGCCGGAGATGAGGTTTTGCAAGGCTCCCCTGTCAGTCTGCATAATTTACTGGCCATGGCGGCAGTCCCCACCATTGCATTTGCCTAGAACGGCCGACGAGGCTGAGCAGACTATTACAACTGCTATCTGCAAGTCAAAGAGGGGAGTTGGAAGATTAACGAGATATTTTGTGAAAATTTCATCTTTTTAAAATCAATCCATCCCTGCTGCATTTTTAGATTATTCACAAGATGCTCCATATAATAAGTGGACAGCTCTAACAAGAGCCATCAGTGTATTCCACAGGCAAAATCTTCTTGTAAAACCATCTGCTTCTGTCCATCTCTATACCCACCCACTTGGATAACTGATCATCCTTTTTCACCTGGACTACCAGCAGGGCATCCTAGCCCATCTACCTATGGTCATTCTTGTCTCTCTTAGTCCCCACACTTCACCCAGGGTGACCTTTTCAAATTACAAATCAGATCAGGGCACCAACACTTCCCCCAATCTCCCACTAAACCCACGTCCTCAGGGGCTTCCCAGTGTTCCTAGATTAAAGCCAAAGAGTCTTGATTCTCGGAAGTAGGAAGTCACCATTCTCTTAAGTCAGAGAAATAACTGTTTCAGACAAGGACCATCAATACATGCTAAACTTATCAGGTGAAAGATTGCTAGAGGAAGACCTTTGCAATTTTCTGCAGATGCCAAAGTATTACCCAAAGATTACATGATAATCTTCAAGGGGCATGTATCTTCACAACAGAGAGGTCTGGGAGTTACTCCCTTTTAACCAAGTGATCAAACCCAGCATCATCAGTAGTGGTCAGCCCAGCATTTCCAGACTCCCAACAGACACACCAGGGAATGCTTTAACACCAACTTCTATTCCGCTTGCCAAAAGGGTGAACTTGAATTTTAGATCAAGCTTCCAGTTTGCAGGACATAGGAATTTGCAGAAACAAATCTGTACACAAGGCAGCAATCAAAAATTCCAGAATGGGTGAAAGTCTGCAAAGCTAGCGACTTTATCCCTTCAAAAAAATAAATAAAAATGAAATAGAATTTTAAAAAGCAATGCCATGAATGGGAAGGAAAAACAAGGTGATGAACTCATTCTAGAAAAAAGAAGAGATGAATGAGAGATAACCAAATACAACGTGTGAATCCAGACTAGATGCAGATTTGAGAAAGCCTATAATGAAATACAACAAAGACTGGGGAGAACTGAGGAGAAATTGGAATACAGATGGTATGAAGAGATGACTGTTATGTTCTGGAAGGTCATTAAGGCCGTTGACTATTGTCCTCAACCTTGAGAGATACTTGCTGAACCACTTACATGTTTCTCACATACTTATGGGATTTGGCTCCATAGAAAGAGGTCCATAGAGACACAGGGGAGGCAAATATGGCAAAATGCTTCCAACTGATGAATTCAGATGACAGGAATAATGGTTTCCATTGTACTACTCTTTCAGCTTTTCTGTATGTCTGAAATTTTTCAAGATAAATAGAGCAAAGAGCACAAGCAAAATGGAGAGAATCAACATGAGATCAGTGAACTGTATCACCGTCAACATTCTGATTTTGACATTGTTCTATAGTTTTGCAAGATGCCACTATTGGGAGAAACTGGGTAAAGAATACAGGGGTGCTCTGCATTATTTTTTCCAGCTGCATGTGACTCTACAATCTTCTCAAAATAAAAAGTTTACTCAAAAAATAGATGCTCTAAAAATAATTTTAAAATAATTAAGGGAAAAACAGTAAATAAATGATACAGAAACGGAAACCAAACAAGCAGAAAAACACAAAGCCTCTTAGCATGACCAATGGGGTCCTGTGCAGTTTGATGCCCCAGCACCTGTCTGGCTGCACCTCACCCCCGGGACTCTTGCTGCTCTACCACCTACAGTGAATGTCCTCTCTTCTATTCCTCGATATTCCACAATCCTCTCCTTTGCAAAGAAGGCTTCCTGACCACCCGACTCAGTCCAGTCTGGCTGCTTTACAGGCATCATTCTTTTGGAGCATGGATAGCCTGGGTTATCTGAAGGACTCCCTGATCACCTGTGATATTCTCCACTAGACTGGGGGCCACGAGAGCAAGACCCGTCTGCATTGCCTGCTGTCACCTCCTCCGCCTGTTAACACAAAGTCAGTCTCCAATAAACAGCTATTGAGTGAATTCACTATAAAAGGATTCTGCACCCCCAAACTCATCATCCAGTGGAGACAGTCTTTGGTAAAGCTTCATCTACGAGGAATGGTCACAAGAAATAAAGAAATGGATGCTCAGAGCAAGGCTCCTCCTGCTACTCATGACATTCCCTACACAAGCTTGCGAATCACCCTTCGGTGGCCATTTCACACGGAAATCAAGGCTCTTTAAGACCAGGCCTGCCCAATAGCAGAATGTTTCCCAGGCAAGGACAGTCACCTGGCAAATATTCTTGCTTTCATAATCCCTGTGAGCATCCTCACCACTTTCCATTTGTGAGAAGTCACGCTGGACCACCCCAGCACAGGCTGCTGGTTGACTGGGATGGACAAGGTACAAGGGAAGGGGCAGTGGGCAATAGCCACCAGGTGAGGTCAAGGCAGGTGTCGGGTAGGGGTTCCCAGAAGGTGTTGGGATGGAAGCTGAATGGAGGCAGGAGGGTAATCCAGGAGGAGGACGCTAAGAGCTCAGAGCTCTGCCTGACCGGGCTTCTCTACATAACCTACAATTGCACAGGACTGGGAGAGGCCACAGAAAGAGGCGGGGATGCACGGTAGCCTGTGGCTGCCCCTGGGTCCTCCTTGGAGATGAGAGGGACCCCATAGCCTGGTTCTTTCACCCTTCGCCGTCCTGTATCCTGCATTCACTCAACCTGTAACCAATAAGCGTTACTTCCACCTGCACTGTTCTTGGATACCTCATTATTCACTCAGTCGCTCCACAAACATTCCTTTATGGCCACTTAGTGGGAATCTGGGACAAGTGTCAAGAGAACAGGCTCCACTGGAAGGCCCAGAGTACTCCTCTTCACCTCTGATCTTACTATGGACACTGAGTAAGTTCTCCACCTGTGGTCCTGCTTCAGTAACTGGGACACAAGACAGCTAGCAGCCCCTTCTTCAGGCCAGCATCTCCACTGCAGAAGAGCTTAAAGACCCCACATGGCTCACCATCCTAAAGGGACTGTCTCTGTTATGAGAGAGTTTTGAGCCAAATGCGTCCACCCTTTTCCTTTCCTGGATTAGCCTTTCAGTTCCATGCTGTGCTCCATCCTTTCACTGTCTTGGGGTCCAAAGGGTCACTTGAGAGACTGTAAAAGTACCAGTTCTGAGGCCTGTGACTTTGGTGTTGATAATAACTGAGATTTTGTATGGGAATGACTCATCCAACCAAACCAGAGCTGAATTTGAAAACCTGAAGAAGCACTTCTTACAAGGAAGTAGTCTTGAGAAAATGGTCTAGGCTCTTCGCACACTGCATTACTAATTAACTTCCAATTATTTAACACACAACGACCTTTCATTTTTGTGAGCATTTGTCCTAGTAGAAAAATAGTCAAATACCCTCTATGTATAGTTAATAGATAGGAACACATTTTACAAAGTTCTGACCGATTAACAACAATAAAAAAGGTTTACAATCCTTGCAGTATGAATTTATGATATCCAAACCACAAATGCCATTTTATAATGGAAATCCAATTGTCTGCAAATAATTGCTGTTCTGAACTACTGTGTCTAAGGAACCAAAATCCCTTGGGATATCAGGAGCACAACATGCAACAAGTATCTGATGATCTACTCTGTGCAAGGAGAGAGGGTACACACTTGGAATTCAGCAAATTACAGTCATTTTTAAACACTATTTTATATAATCGCTTTTCACAATACATTGAAGCTTCCCTATCCACTGCAACACTGAATAATTCAGATTAATATATATATATATATATATTTTTTTTTTTTTTTTTTTTTTTTTTTGCGGTACGCGGGCCTCTCACTGTTGCGGCCTCTCCCGTTGCGGAGCACAGGCTCTGGACGCGCAGGCTCAGCGGCCATGGCTCACGGGCCCAGCCGCTCCACGGCATGTGGGATCCTCCTGGACCGGGGCACGAACCCGCGTCCCCTGTATCGGCAGGCGGACTCCCAACCACTGTGCCACCAGGGAAGCCCCAGATTAAATATTTTTAACAGTTTTCATGAATAGTATGATTTTGATCATGTGACTATTCTGATAAAAGGCAAATAATTAAATGGAGTCCTAAGTTTTCAGCACAGGTAATGCTTCTCATTCTGAAAAGTTTATTATTCAGCCTGAAGTGTTGTCTAGGAAATTGTTCATAAAGGTTCAGCTACAACTATCCTTCCCCTGATCAAACATGAGGCATGAAATGTTTCACATGGCAAATCTGACTTCACTATGCCATGACTGCTGAAGAATCACAGGATATAATCACATGTGCTATATGTTACACGCCTGAGTACAGTCCTACATTAAACTGCTCGTTAATATTTTTAAGGAAGACTAAACACAGAGACACACAAACACATACACATTCTTGCTCCTTGACTTTTATTTAAGGAAAATTGCTATGATTTTAAGGTATAAATCCATTTTTTAGAAATTTAAATACATATATTTATTATTATATTAAATATTATATATATATAATTTAAATATACATATGTACACACACACACATATAGCAGCAACAGTTAATAAGGTAGTTTTTTTAATTAGAATTAATCCTTTGGAAAAAAGCCTTAAATGCGTTGTCTCTATCCCTTAATAAGATTGATGTAAAGTGCAACCAACCTTGTTCTGGAAACGCTAGTAGAACTTGCTGCAGTCTATAGGAATCTAGGGGCCTCAGAAATGGAGTCTGTGTTCCCAGACAGGAGAGCCGAGGTGGACATATACTCAGAAACTCTGGAGACACATTGGCTGCGGCTTCGCAGAGGACATCTACTGTATGGCCCTGCGATGTCAGCTTGTTACGGACAGAGCTCCTAAGTTCCCCTCTGTACGTCTCCTAATTAAGTTGTATCATACTCTCACTGAGGATGACTAGAGAATTATTTCGAGAAATGCTAATGAGCCTCCGTGACTAAAGCTAATTAATAAAGGAGCACAATTTAAGGCTGACAATGCTCCCTGGCTTCTGCTATTGAAAACCAATCAATAAATGAACAGCAGTTAATGACAGACTCTCCATGGGTAACATCTCCAAATTTTCCGTGACCACAAAGCATGGGAGAGAAAAGAAAAGGGACTTTTCTCGGCTGACACCCTGAATCACTCCCCAGGTCAGTATAAGGAGAGAGTCTGTATCTTGACCCTTATCTTCTTACAAACACGCCTTTAGTTAGACCATCCCTGGTGGCTTCTGAAATCATGTGGAGACAAGTCCAAAATCATATTGAAAATGGAAATACTTACATCAGCATTTTGCCTAAAATGCTGGCCTCAAAACACAGTTATAGAAAGTCAAAGTTACACTCACCACCACATCGGTCCTCATTTTCCCAAAAGTCTTGATCAAATGGGCATAATGATAATCTTCCATTTGTCGTAAAATAGCTGTCATACAGGCCACGAAGTTTCCCTGTAAACAAATCAAAAGATACAATGAGATGAGGAGACCCACAACACTCATGGGAGAAACTGATGTAAACTAAGCATCTGGGATCAAAGCCCACCAGGGAGAAGCCATGTGCCAGGCTGGCCAGCTAAGAGAGCGGTCACTCCAGCCTCACCATCTTTCCTTTTGCTACATTTCCTTCTAACTACATTAAATGTTTCCTGATACATGACTGTCCAGTCTGGAAAAAACAAGCTTGAAATATTCTCGAATTAAATATGTGCAATGAAAGACAGGCTCGAAACCGCCACCACTGTGCGTTGTGTTCCCTGGAAAGTTGCTGCCCCTGTTATCAGGCAAAGTGTGTGTGCAGCCCCTGCTCCCGGGCTGTGGCAACGAGAGGACTTTTATTTCTCAAAATATGCCTCTATCCCCCTTGGCCAACTTGGAGGCAATAACCACCGACTCCACAATGAGTTATGGCTCACTTCTCCTCCACCAGAAGCATGTGAGGAGGAATGCAACCTCATCAGAATATAAAGTGGGAGAGACGGGGAATTTCTCGTACCAGACAGAGCTGGCAGGAAAGGAAAAGAAGGGGAACAAAGAAACCACCAAACAAAATCAAGACATGGAGAACCTGAGGGGCCAGAGCACTTAGCAACAGAAGTGACCAGCATGCAAGCGGCTGTGCATGTGGACGTGTTTGTGTGTGCAGGTCTGTGCACGTGTGTGTGTGTGCAGACACACTAAGGGGGATTTGGTCTAGCGGGGGAGCAGGGGGTTAAGCAGTCCCATTGCCATTAACTGCAATGTATCACTTCTGGGGTTCATGGCTAACAATTTCCTAAAAGACTTCTTTGCTTTTAAATATCTTCCCCTAAAGTAATGATATTTCAAGAAACAGAGGACATATATTTTCTCCCATTAAACTAGCACAAGTCTGGTAAAATTATAGGATGAGATATACTTTGAGACATGTCCTTAATTTTGCCTTATTAAATGAGTTCACAAATTGCATTCTTTTACTAACTGTTTTACAAGCAATGTATTTGAATGCCTAAATATCTCTCGTATTCATTTCAAATGCATGCTCTACAGTGAAATGTTAAAGCCCAAAATTTTTTCGGATCCATTTTATATCTATAATAAACATATATGCTTCCAAATGGGTCCTCAGAGGATGCGTTACGTAAGTTGAACAAGTAAAATAATGATAATAAGGTATCTTCCATTTGCCCAGAAATGTAAACTATTTATTAATGATGATAATTGCTGAAATTTAGATTTCAAGTTGATGTTCGGGGAAAGAGCTAAATAATGCTTGTTTTCCTTCTTTGGAGGAATGATTCGTAAAATGGTAAAATGTCTATTTATGAGCATACACTTTTTTTGTTTGTTTGTTTGTTTGTTTTTTGCGGTACGTGGGCCTCTCACTGCTGTGGCCTCTCCCGTTGCGGAGCATAGGCTCCGGACGCGCAGGCTCAGCAGCCATGGCTCACGGGCCCAGCCGCTCTGCGGCATGTGGGGTCTTCCCAGACTGGGGCACGAACCCGTGTCCCCTGCATCGGCAGGTAGACTCCCAACCACTGTGCCACCAGGGAAGCCCGTATGAGTATACACTTTTGAAATATGTAAATATTTGGCATTCCGCTGAGCTCAAGAGAAGCCGCCTTTGTATCTTCTTTACTCCTGATGAGATGCCACCTTTGGGATATCAGTCTTCATAACTTTACACGTTGACCAATTGCAATATGTCAGGCGCTGTGCTGAGGCCATTAGAACCATGGCCTCATTCAATCACACCACAGATTCTCATCTCGTCCCATTTTATAGGCAGTAAAACTGAGGCTGAGTGGTGTTCCCCTCTTGATGAGAATATGGAAAACCGGCTGTGAACCCAGCACACCAGCTACAAGGTAGGTGCTTAGTAGCTGAGCTAATTTTCCTCTTATCCAGATAGGCACTTTAATTATTTTTCTGAGAAATCTGAGGTCACTGACAATGGCCAACATGAAGTAGAGACTTCATGCACTTCTGTGGTCATCAGAGAAAGTTGGGAAGAGGATGAGGAAATGGAAAGGCGGCCAGAGACAGTGTCCCAATTTCTACCCTGACCGAGGTGGCTGTGACCTGGACTCCACCCTACTAGACAGGGAGCTTTTCTAGAGCAAGAAAAGGCCTATATCAGTCAAGGTTCACCTAACAGGGGCTCAGATTAATCCTCTGCAGGTCAAAAGAGTTAAAGAATAGGGACTTACAAATTAGAATCATTGAAATCACAAAGGTAGCTGTGTATAATTCAGAGCAATAGACATATGTACTGTACTTAAGATACCAAGTTGAAAGTGGAAAGAAAAGAAGACCACAGCCCCAGAGCAGTCTTGAAAATGCAAAGGGCATGCACACTGAGTAACATTAATGGAAAAAAACTAGAGCATCAGGAATCTGGCCAGATACTCGAACAGGGGACGTGGACATAATTTAGGGAGCAGAGTGCCATGTAATGCTGAAAATTCATGCAAGGCAAAGGCTCGGGGAACTGACACGATGCATGACATGAAAAACTGAAGAGAACATAGCAATTTCCATAAAGCAAGTCCTGGGAATACTTAAATGGCCGGTCGGGAAGCCTTCTCTCTGGATGAGAACGTCACAGAGAGGGCAACCAAATGGCCTCCTATTTAACTGCAATGGGGACTAACTGGAGTAGCCCAGAGAAAGGGACAGAGGCAGGTCATCGCCATGAGTTAGAGGTCAAAAGGCCAATGGGGCTTCCCTGGTGGCGCAGTGGTTGAGAGTCCGCCTGCCGATGCAGGGGACAGGGGTTCGTGCCCCGGTCCGGGAGGATCCCACATGCCGCGGAGCGGCTGGGCCCGTGAGCCATGGCCGCTGCGCCTGCGCGTCTGGAGCCTGTGCTCCGCAACGGGAGAGGCCACAACAGTGAGAGGCCGGCGCACTGCAAAAAAAAAAAAAAAAAGTCCAGCAGGTGCAAATGTGCTCTTTACTTAGCTTAAGGAAATGTTCCAGAAGCAATGTGTGCTGTTCAGTCTTTCTGAGGAAGCAAATCTTGCTACTTCAGCCCTCTTCTAAGCTGAAGCTTTAGACCCCACGAGGAAAGAGGTACTATGCCTGTCAAATTTCACAGAAAGGCTCCCCCTTTCCTTTGGAATGGAGTCCCATCCATGGGGGCCAGTATCTTTAGAGAAGAAGCATAGCGGACGCTATGGAGCATGACTGCCCACGTGAACTCCGTGGAACCCTCTAGAGCAGAGTGGTGGGTTTTTACGGGTAGATAAAAAGCAGGTATTTATGGAAGCTGTATTTGAAACCAATCATACACCAGAAACAGAAATGGGGGAGAGCTGTCAAAAGAAACTTATTCTGCAGGCTCAGAATAAAATTACTATTCTATGCTTTGTCATTGATTTATTGGAAATGCATTTAGAAGTCCTAGGAAGCTGTCATGTCAGACAGTGGGTGGGCTGGCAGGTAGGCGGGTGGTGATTGTGCAGAATTCCTCCTGGAACCTGAGCCTGGGGACGGGGTTCCAGCCCCAGTGGCTGAGTAAAAATGAGAAAATAAATAAAAATAAGACATATTCCTTGTGACTTCAAAGCAATGCAAAATAGGGACAGAGAAATCAGGAGGCAGTGGAAGAAAACTTAAAAATCAGGTCATGGAAAGAAAGCCTCATAAACAAAAAATGTGAACTTCATTAGTAATCAAAGATGAAAACGGTATGTCATCATTTGCCTGCCAAAGTAGCAGAGGAGTATTTAAGTGATGATAATGTTAGCACGGGCGCAGGGGATGAGCACTCTTAGACGGCACTGGCAGGAGCATAAATTGCTGTAACCTTTTTAAAAAGTGATTTGGCAATAGGTTTGAAAAGTCTTGGGAAAAACGATACTCATCTGCTCAGGGTAATTCTACTTCTAACAAGCCACCTAAGGAAGTAATTCAGAATTAGAAATTTTATGCCCAAAGATGTCCATTGCATCACTGAAAACATCTCAATGTTCAACAGCTAGGAACTGTATAAGTAATATGAGATTTTGTAAGGTTGCAAGATAAAATACAGGATGCCCAGCTCAATTTGAATCTCAGATAAATGAGTATGTCCCAAATTTTGTATCGGAAATTTCACATCAGACATTCAGATACTAAGAAAATGATCTGTTGTTTACCTGAAGTAGATTTTTATTTGCTAAATCACGTAACCACACCATAGTTTTCTGATGAAATATTATGCAACCATCAAATACTAATCATGAAAATACGAACTATTTTAATAACATAAGAAAATGCTCAACGATGAAAATCAGACATAATTATGGTACATATACTTTTCAGCAAAACAAAGAATATAAATATAGCATAGGAAAAAAATAAAAAAGAAGAAACGATTAGAAGAAAAAACATCAGACAGTTGTGGGATGGGAGGAGGAGCCCAGATTACTTTTTTTTTTTTTTTGCGGTACGCGGGCCTCTCACTGTTGTGGCCTCTCCTGTTGTGGAGCACAGGCTCCGGACGCGCAGGCTCAGCGGCCATGGCTCATGGGCCCAGCCGCTCCGTGGCATGTAGGATCTTCCCGGACCGGGGCACGAACCCGTGTCCCCTGCATCGGCAGGTGCACGCTCAACCACTGCGCCATCAGGGCAGCCCCCAGATTACTTTTATAATGGAAAATATATTAGTATTTTATTTTTTATATACATTTTTATTGATTGATTGATTTTTGGCTGCGTAGGGTCTTTGTTGCTGCATGTGGGCTTCCTCTCGTTGTGGTGAGTGGGGAGCTTCTCTTGTTGCAGCGAATGGGCTCTAGGCGCACACTTCAGTAGTTGTGACATGTGGGCTCAGTAGTTGTGGCACGCGGGCTCAGTAGTTGTGGCTCATGGGCTCTAGAGCGCAGGATCAGTAGTTGTGGCGCACGGGCTTATTTGCTCCGCAGCATGTGGGATCTTCCCGGACCAGGGTTCAAACCTGTGTCCCCTGCATTCGCAGGTGGATTCTTAAC